TAGCTGGAGTATCTCTGAAATGCAGATATACAAATAGCAGTTCCTGACGGGTAGAGTTTCGTTTGGCGAAACGTTGACGTATGTGTCAGCAACGGATTTTAATGCAAACGCTTTTGAGTTGCCGAAGTTCAACGGCTCTTCAACGGGAACCCGAGCTTTATATCTATCACAGGCGGGGAATAAATCGAGCAGCCTCTCTGCAAATCTCCCCCGTCACCTCCACCGTCCCCCTCTAAGGCGACCTTATCACGCTTGCAGTTCCAGCTTATCGGCTCTTGTTTGTCTTGTAACGTCGCGAGGCGACGCTCGGCTATGGCGACGAAGTGAAAATCCGAATTCTCATCGTTTTGAAAAATCACTCTAAAGTGTCAATCTCCATTTATCTCATTTTAATTGCAGCCTTACATTTCTCTTTCGATTCAGATTCAAGAACTTAGGTATTTTTGTAAAATTAAACAAAGGCATTAAACGCTCATGACCAAAGCGCTCAAGATTTCCAAAAAGATACCTAACCTAAAAATGTTCTCATATAAGAATGGAAAGTACAGTCCTGTAAATCCATATTTTTGATTAATTTTCTGGGTCACATTGACAGCCTGCCTTATCAGCTACCACCTTAAATTTCCCACTTCGATTCACCTCCAAGCACTTTACATTTTCCTGCATTTAATTACATTCGTCCTTGCATTCACACTGTCGTCTTAACAATAAGAGTCAGAGTGAAGTAAATCGAGATTAAATTTGCAATCTCTAAGGAATTCCATGGGAAGATGAAGAAAAAAATTACGTGAAAGCAGTTGGATGTGAAAAATGACAAAAGAATGCGACAAAAGAATAAGAAGTGGAGGGTAGCAGGATAGCGTAAGGTAGAGCAGCACGGAATCTGAATAATTCATGGAAGATAGAAACCAGGACGACGAACGCAGGCCGTTTTTTAATTATCATCCAGCGTGTTTGCAACCACTCGGGAAGGATTACGCGTCGCGTCGCGTCGGCGTACATGCGCCAGCGTAACTTGCTCTTTACTTACGTCAGAAGCTTTCCTCGGGAAGCTCTACAAAGTGGGAAGAAAATTATCGCCCCTGCTGCTGCTGCTGCTGCTTCGCGCTTGCGATATTCCCCTGCGAAATATTGATTCGTCGTCATTCGAATGAAACATTATTATTATTATCATTGAATCTTCAAGGTTGCATCAATTACAAAAGTCATTAGCATCCACAATGATTATGGATCACATAGAGTAAAAATTAATCCTTGTCCATTGCTTAACAAATTAA